TAACTATTTGATATTTGCTTATCACACATACTTTATCTGCAGTTAAATATAAATCGCATGATTAATATGTTGTATATATCGAGGAGCTAAGATAATATTAAATGTAGATGGAAAATTGAGGTAGTCGAAAGTATCAAATAATTCTAAAAAAACGCCTTGCTGAACATCAGCTTGGAGAAAATGCGGCAATGAAAACTGCAGCATCAAAGAAATAACAATAGTCTATCATAATGTTTCAAAATTTTCCATTGGCTCTCCGTGTTCAACGAAATTCGAAGGATCGATGTGGAAACAAACTTTCGCGACTCAGGAAAAACATTCTTCTAAACTCTTATTTGATAAATTATTGCCAAACCCTTTCCCCTTAATTCGCCGAACTCGCGAATCAAAGGACCAATCGAGGAAATTTTTAATTCGATCCAGACACGAAGAACGGCAATCAGTGGCGGTCGATTGAAACGGGCCAATTGTATCAGCAAGACGAACACGTATTAGTGACACGATTAACTACAGTAACAATTGTGTTAAAGCAATACGCTTTAATTGCGAGCGATACTATCTCGCGAATTAATTTTATTCGGGGGAGAGCTGCCAGACAGGAAGGAGGGGTGGGACGAGTGTGGGTGCGAGGGACAGGACAACGCCGTTAATTCGATAAATTAATGATGCGTTAGCAGACACACACCTTGCTAACGAGGAGCCATTGTTCGCGATATCAAAAGAATCCTCGAGTGACCATCCCCCGTTATCGAGCGTCGCGATTCGTTAAAAGCACGAGAGACGCCCGACTGTTTATCTTTTTCTTTTTCTTTTCCCGTTCGTTAAACAATCCACACGAGATGCCGGTGTTAATTGGCGCGTCTCTAAGTCTAGTGCATATGTACACGCGCAAATGCACGCAGACGTATTATATCATTGTTTAAGCAAAGCGCGAATGTCAATTGAATATTAACGCCTCGTTTTCGCCGCGACCTTACATCGCATAGCACGACGCGCTGTTATTAATGCAGAGAGAGAGAGAGAGAGAGAGAGAGAGAGAGAGAGAGAGAGAGAGAGAGGGAGGAAAGAGAGAGAGAGAGAGAGAGAGAGAGAGAGAGAGAGAGAGA